GTGTGTGTGTGGGGTACTACACGGGCGCAGTGTGACCGGGTCGGGACAGAGTGGGAGGGGAGGGGAGGGAGAGGGGCGGGTTTAACCATTAGCCGCCGTGATGACCCAGAACACAGCTGTGCGGAGCCGGTTCCGTTCATAAGACGTGAGCGCGTCACCACGAGCCGAGCAGCTTTCAGCACACACACTGTGCGCGCTCCTCAGCTCAGCGCCTCTCCTTGCTCCTCGTGCGCAGATCAACACCAGCAGGTAAGACCGCTTCGGTCCTACTCTCCTCAGGTTCACCTGAAAGTCCGCTTCCAGCTGCCAGAACAACACACCTGTCCTCTTCAGGGTCCTCACAAAGACAGCTCAGTTTCTGGTGTGCGTCTTCTTGAACACGCGAGAAGAGCTCGTGGCAGTGACCCTTCAGAAGCCCTCCCTGCCCCGGCCCGGCCGGGATAAATGAGCAGCTAGAAAAGAGCAGAGGACGGCTCTATTCAGCCTTTACCAGGGAGCACTAATTTACGCCTGTGCCATGTTGGGTTCGGGTGCTGTTGGTCCGGACTACTAAGCAGAGACTTGTTTCAGCGCGCAGGACAGGAGGAGCGTGTGAAGTCCAGAGAGGAGCCCTGCTCTGCTCGGCCTTCACAATAAAAGCCCACATGTTTGAGGGACTTCCTGTCTTCAACTTGTTCAGTTCTCTGCGCTCACCATCCTGTATATTTGTGTTTGTACATGTTTGTTTCCTGGTRGGGACGATTTTTCACCATTTTCCTGGTACACACAGCCTGATGAGGACACACTGTTCCTTATGGGGACAAAAGCCCGGTCCCTGTAAGGGGGAAATATTGTTGATGGGTCAGGGCCAGGGGTCAGATTTAGGCTATAAAAATTACCAGTAAATAAATGGAAGTTAATACAAAGTCCCCTTGGGAATAGAAGTACATGTGTGTGTGCTCTGTTTTATACAAATATTGAAGAGTTTTCTGAAATAAGATAGGAGAAGGTTTGTTGTCAGAGGTGAGGATGTACTGTATATTTTGAAAGTTAAACAGGATGTATGACTGTCTCAGTCCGGTTGGATCCAGGTTTACCTGYTGTTGGTCCTTAGCTCCACTGTCAGAACAAAAGTTTTAAAAACTTTTATATTGATCACAGAAGTGTCACTTTTTGAATGTTTTATTATGGTGTCTTCTAAGTGGGAGTGTGTTTATCATTACAGGGGTCAAATAATAGTTTTTCACAATATAAATTGTTTTATTTTTCTAAATAAGCAAGCTCAAAACAAGAATTAATCCAATAAGTTTATTTTAGGGCCAAGTAGACGTCTCTGGCTCCATCAACAGGTGAAGGTTCAGAGGTTTGGGGGTGAGAAATACTGGAGCCGGCGGGCTCACTGCTGTATGGAGTGTTAAAGTTACAGCAGAAGCAAAAAAAAAAAAAAAATGAATGAGCATAATGTAAAGTTTTTTTAAAACATTTTTGGACTAGTCCCATGTGTATTAGTTATAGTCACTGATACAAAGAAATGAAAGTTTACCAAAAATCAAAACTTACATAATAAAAATACAGTCCTCAAGACAGGCTGACTTTAACGTCAATTTTTATTCTTATTTTTTATTTGTAGAGTTCCTGTATTATTGTAAAGGAATCTGTTAACAGGTGCATTCTTTAAAACTGAGCCTGAAATGTGACTGAACAGGACTGACTAATTATTGGAAATGTTCCTTTTACAGGTGCCCACTCTGGTCAGAGAAAACTTTTTCACTGCAGGTAATTCAATCCTCATCCAGAAGATCTTTAAATATCTCCTTTGAGAACCTCCCAGCKGCCACGTGCTGTAAGGTGAGACCTCTGCAGCCTGAGCACCGAGCAGCACCACACTCAGGACGGAGTCCATCGAACTGCACCACACTCACAAGATTGAGTTTGTCGAACGGCACCACACTCAGAGGACTAAGTCCATCAAGCGGCACCACTTAGAGGACTGAGTCCAACAAAAGAAACCACACTCGGAAGACTGACCAGTCCTTCAAAAGGAACCATTCAGAGGACTGAGTCCTTGAACGGCACCACTCAGAGGACTGACCAGTCCTTCAAAAGGAACCACTCAGAGGACTAAGTCCAACGAAAGGAATTACACTCAGAGGACTGACCAGTCCATCAAAAGGCACCACTAATCAGCCTGAGCTTCAGTCTGGATTCTTCAGAGTGTCTACAGTCTTCTCAGCTTTGAAAGGCTGTTAACCGTTGACTGGAGGGGGTTCTGCTGGTGCTCCTCAAGCCTGCTGTTTTCCTTTCTTCTCAGTTTTGGACCAGTATGCCTTTTCTCCTCCCTGCCTACCATTAGGACCTTTCAGTGAATGGAGAACATACTGATTCTGCTCCCGAAGCACCGACAGGAACACGGGCTTTGCAGAAGCACAGCTGCATGTGCCTTGTTAGGCGTGTCCCCCAAGTGTTTTTCTTTCTGTCTTTGGTATCGACCCACACTCCCTGTTGACCTCTTTCATGGGATAAACTGATTTGGCTGATCAGGTCCAAAACCAGTTCAGGTGGTCAGTTCTTTTCTGACTCCCTGAAAACCATCAGGCCAAGGTCCGAAGACTTTTTTTCTAGTGCACTGTCTCTCAAAGGCCTCCGCATGGTACTTTGGTCGAAAGAACAAGACAAACTCCCCGACATCGACATGTCCTCAGGGGACATTGAGATGCTGAAGAAAGATGGGGGGCCACTGACCCCAGCATTCCTCAATTCCAACTGCTCTGTCCATCCAGTGATTCTCACCAGAGGTCCTGAAGAAGTGAACCCAGAGACCGGAGGGGAGTTCGAGCTCACTGAGGTCACATCTTTCACAGAGAGGGCCACTGAGACTGGGGATGATGAGGAGAGGTCAGAGATTGTGGTTGTGATGGACTGTCTGGCCAATGCCAAAGGTCAGCGTGAGGAGGACGCTCTGTTGGAGAATGCAAGTCAGAGCAACGAGAGTGACGAAAACAGCATCAACCAGAGCCCAGAACCACCAGTGCCCCTCAAGGAGACCGCCTTTTCCATTGGTCTGCAGGTGGTTTTCCCCTTCCTGCTGGCTGGGTTTGGGACAGTAGCAGCTGGAATGGTGCTGGACATTGTCCAGGTGAGCAACATGCTTCACACATTCTGAAAAAACACAGCACACATTTACAAGCAAGACCTGTAGAATTACAAAATTAAAAGAGAATCAGTATTAATAAAGAATGAAATTAAAATGAAACGGTATTTTGCACCTAAAGATTCATATTCAAGTCTAATTAATCAATCAGTCGAAGTTAACCTGACTACAATCCAATCCCTCATTGAACATTTTGTGTTCTTTATGTAAAAAGGTTGTCTGATATCTCCCTACATGTACAGAATTTTAAATTATTCTACCGAATCTATTATACACCTGTTCGCCTTCAGAAGATGTTCCCTGATGCTTCTGATCTCTGTCATAAATGCAAAATACATAGGGGGACATTTATTCATTTATTTTGGTCTTGCAGTCATATTCAAACTTTCTGGAAAGCAGTACATCTGAAAATACAAGAAATTATTGGCAAAAGGTTTTTGTTGACCCCTTCTTTCTGTTTTTTAACCATGCTCCAGACACTCTATTTAATGCAGATACTAAATCCTTGCTTATAATTCTCTTATTTCTGGCACAAAAAAGTATAATATTGAGATGGTCAGCACCCCAGGCTCCCATTATTATTCCAGTTGAAAAACTGACTCACGACCATCAACAGCCAGACAAATTTTGGAAGATCTGGAAACCATTGCAATCCTTTTTAGATGGAACATAATTTCATCTAGAGATGGGGACTAGCTACACTACTTTCTTGCTTTTAATGTTACTTATATTGTTGTCTTTCAACAGTTTTGGTGACACTTTAATTTAAATCATATCTGGGATTGTCTGTATTTTGTGTATGTAGACTATAATTTCATGTAGACATTTCAATGCTCCTTGTTGATTTGGGGTGGATTTTTGTTTGTTTGTTTCTTTTGTTTGTTTGCTTGTTTCTTTAGCTGTTCTTGTTGTTGTTGCTTTTGTGTTATTGTTTATATAAAGTTTTGAAAATCAGTAAAATAAAATGGGAAAAAAAGTTGTCTGATGAGCCCAGCAGATTGTGTCAAATCTTCTTTGGCACAATCTGATCAGCACGGGGTATAAAGAAATCAGAACCAGGCCCAGTATGGGCCGAGCTGCAGGGCAGAGCCACGATGACAAAGAACTGGACCAGGTGTACTTTTTATGGAAAGATGAGTCATGAACACAAACTTAGTAACACAAATTCTTACTTGTATAAACAAAAACAACAGAGTAAGGGAAATGTGGTCATTTTGTCCTCAGCAGTCTAAGCCAATAGCAGCAGAGCTAAGGAATAATTCAGGAAACCTAAGTCTAACTATATCCTCCTGAGATCCAGAAGAAAAAAAGTTTTGGTATTTAGATTTTTTTCATGGTTTAAGTATTGAGGTTGAAAGAAACATATTGCAACATTTTTTTTCCACAAATGTTATTTATTTAAATTTTACCAAATGTCTCTTACAAAGGACATCGGGTCTTGCTTGATATAAAAATTTTCTTTACCTAATGATTATTTAAAGTTGATAAATTACATTTATTTTTATTTTATAAATACTTTTAACAGATTTATACTTTTTGAAATTCATAAACAGACAAAACAGTTGAAGAAATGGCTTTAAGAAGTGCTTACATAAATAATTACATGTCTGAAATGCATCTAAACATTTAAGTACTCTCGCTGGTTTATGTACAGTATTCTGACATTTTTTTCAAAAATGCTATTATCTATGTACTGTTTACAGTAATCAGTTGGCCTCCAGTCTTGGAGATTGTGCCCATTGCTTTCCTGCAAGGGATTCTCCTCCACAACAGTGTTGAAACTATGTTAATTGAAAAAAAGAGAATTATGCTTTAAGGTAATGCAAAATGTGTAATTATATATTTAATTGTCATTACAAAAAATTACATTATTGTGTCTATGTGTTATAACTTTTAAAAAGTTCAATATTTTCCTTTGCACTCACTATTACCAATAAATTCCATGAACTTAACTTACATATTACTTTTCATCAATATTGGCTGGCAAGTATCTTCATGTTGTTCCTCTTCAGGCTCCTCAAAAATTGTTATGTCTTGCTCTGAACTTTCACACACCTGCTCTACTATCTGGCCTTCCTCCTCATCATCTCCTGACAGCTCTATGTCTGATTTTCTTTCCAAAACACTCATTAAATCATTTCTGCCTCATTCAGTCATATATACATTTGAAAGCATGACAACTGGTTAAGATCGTCTTTAGCAAGTCCCACCGTCCCCTATGAAAGACACTGGACAAAACTTGTATTTTTACAGGGTTAACAATACTGTACATTTCTGAAATTTTACAAATATATATATAGTGCAGACTTTCATACTAATGAAGAAATGCCATTTTTTGCAATATAAATAATTTTTGGTAGTAAATTTATCACTTACAGTACCTACCCTGTTGCCGTAAAACGTTGACATGGGGATTTCTGCCATTTTAAAAAGGTAAGTACATGTGCTCTGATAGCCACATGACCACAAATTTGACATCAGCAGAAAGCCCAGGATGTCCTCTTTACAGCACAGTGGGACTAACATAGATTGCAAGTGTAATGTTTACAATATAAGGCTGAATAGCATGTCCCCCACAGAGGACAAAAATGAATTGATGGGTCTCAGGAGGATATGATTTATCAAAGAGGAAAGTTTTCAGTCTAATCTTAAAAGTAGACAGAGTGTCAGCCTCACGGACAGAAACTTGAAGTTGGTTCCACAAGAGAGGAGCTTGATAACTGAAAGCTCTGCCTCCCATTCTACTTTTAGAAACTCGAGGAACCACAAGTTAACCTGCAGTCTGAGAGTGAAGTGCTCTGTTAGGAAAGTATGGAACAATAAGATGTTTAATATATGATGGAGCTTGTTGTTAAGAGCTTTGTATGTTAGGAGTAATATTTTAAATTCTATTCTGAATTTGGCAGGGAGTCAGTGGAGAGAGGCTAAAACTGGAGATTATGATCTCTCCTCCTTTTGGGAACTTTGAAATAGATTTAAATTCAAAACTCTGCCAAAAAGCTAGTTGCRATCCTCCTAGTCCTATAGCAGCCCTGTACCTGAAGCAGTGTGTGAAAAACCAAAACAGAACTTATAAAGATGTAAGACAGGATGATGTTTGTGAAAAGAGAGTTTAACCAGTGACATCATCCTCCTCTAAACTTAACATATAATTGTGTAAAAAACCCCTTCAGTCATGTGACGTCCAACTTTCTGTGACTCGTTATAACTTTGAACAATGTTCCTACTTTAAACTATGTCCTTACTAGTTTTACCAACACCCTCTTGTTGTCTCTGTAGACATAGTTTATATTTGTTTTTTTATAAATATTTTATCTGTTTTGTACAATGTTGGGCTACCAACCCAAAAACCACAAAACCCAAGGTCACAGTCAAACTTTAAGTATATTCTGGAGTTTTCTAAAGCTTTGGGAGAAGAAACACGTTGAAATTCTTGATAAAAACAAAAGAATTACGGTGATATATTATCATAACTTTTCATTTATAAAAACTCTTCAGTCAGACTGAAGAAGTCTCAGTTACAGAAGAAATATTTCAACAAAAAGTACCCGTCCAGAGAACCTGACTCAACGATTTTTAGATTTTTCTGTACTGATATGCATCAGGCCAAAAAGTTAAACACATTCTAAAATTAGCTAAACTGGTATTAAAACTAGCAAAGTAGAAGCTAAAAGTATAGCAAAGAGATTAAATTAGCAAAACTGAAAGGCTGGAATAAGCAAAACTGTGGCTAAACACTAAAACCAGCAGAATGGTATGCTAAGAGACATATGCTGAAGCAGATTTCAAAGAGGACGATATTTTAAAGATGTTTTAGAAGGAATTTCATTTAAACACAGTAAATTTATTTTTAACATATATAAAAAACAAAAGTCCTGCCACACCAGGCCCACATGAGCTGAATGTTTGTTAAAAGTGTGTGGAAGTAGTTTGGTTATAAAACCGTACAAAGAAATGATCAAAAAGAAAACAGTGGTGTTAATTCTGACTCAGCACTTATATCCGAAGGAAACCAAATAATTTAAAGACTTGATTCAAAGCTTGCTTCCTTAATATTCTGTATTTATGGGATGGAATGTTTGCTCACGAGGCTGGACTGTAACTGTACCATCCATGCTGTGGGACCAGGATCAGGAACCAGACTCTGTAGTTTTTGTAACGCGTCACACTGCACACCAACAGGTTGGACTTTCCACTCCCACGAGTCCCGTGAGGAGGTTGGCTTGTATGAATGAAGTAACTTTAGAGAGACTACCTCACCTTGGCACGTGTCACTCATAGTGCTGCTGGTTAATCTGAGGGCCGGCTTTAGGAGACTGGGATATTTACAAAACCCTTTTCTCCTTTACGGCATGCCTTTCTCTCCTCTGGGACCGGCTCATACTGGTACTCACTCTGCTATTTGCAGTCTGACGCRTTTGAAGGCTGTTTTATTGTGCTACACAACCAACTGTACCTGGATCCACTTGGCTTCACATAATGTTTCTGAGTAGATAACTCAGACAAATACTACTCTTTTGAGGATTTCCTGGTTTCTTGTTTCTTTGACACGTTTGCTGTTTTACTCTGCAGGCTGAGGCTGTTGTGAGAGGTCACATTTCTTTAAAGTGGGTCTGGATTGCAGATAAAGCTGGAGGTACCAGCCTGCCAGGAGACGAGGACATTGTGTACATGCATACTGATGCCAACATGTTGGACCCTCACAGACTCAGCACAAGAAGGAGGGGGGCAGGGGAATAAACTTTGCTCTTTTTGAGCACCTGAAATGGCAGCACACTGCAGCTGTGTTGGTGTCTGAGTGAAATCCAATCCAGTGTAACTGTGTGCTTACTCACTCAAACAGGGACCTGGAGCTTCCAGCTTCACATGGTTTTGTGCTGCTGCAGTTTGGGACTTGAAAAGCCTTTGAATTGGACCAGTCTGCCATATGAGGCTTGTCTGTGACTCTTTCATTGAGTTCAGATGAGTATTTAACAGATAGCTTT